CCAGGAGAGCCAACTCCAATGACTCTTCCAAAAGCTGTTCTTGGTGATGACCACAGATGCAAGTCATAACCACAGTGCATAAAAATATGAACAATCATTTGTACCATGACCATAATAAATTGGCACTGTGGAATTTTGAACCATGAACGTTGAATGATGCAATTTTTCAGCAACATCTCTCCAAATACTGCCACCTGCAGGCGAGGTAGATGAAAGGCACCCAGACGGAGAAAAGGGCAGTCTTCTCTTGGAGATGGTTTAAGATTAAAAAGGAGCAAGATATTTTTGGTTTCGTGGGAGACTAGGCAGTTTCGTGGATGCTCACCTTACTAGACCTGGAAGGAGGTGGGTGGTCCTTGGACTTCCCACAGGGCAGGGAACCCGGATTGCTCTTTGGGCTGACGAGGGAGGGGGACTTGATTGGGGGAGGGGGAGGGAAAGGGGAGGCGGCGGTGGGGAAGAGACAGAAATCTTTAATAAATAAATAAATTTAAAAAAAAAGGAGCAAGAGCCGCCGATTGCTGTCCAGCCATGGCCAAGTTCAAGAACCACACCACACACAACCAGTCCCGGAAATGGCACAGAAATGGCATCAAGAAACCCCGGTCACAAAGATATGAATCTCTCAAGGGGGTTGACCCCAAGTTCCTGAGGAACATGCACTTTGCCAAGAAGCACAACAAGAAAGGCCTGAAGAAGATGCAGGCAAATAATGCAAAGGCCATGAGTGCACGTGCGGAGGCCATCAAGGCCCTTGTGAAGCCCCAGGTGGTGAAGCCCAAGGTGCCAAAGGGTCCCACCCGCAAACTCACTCGTCTGGCTTTAATTGCTCACCCCAAGCTTGGGAAGCGGATTAGAAGCTACATGGCCAGGGGTCGTAGGCTCCAAAAAACAAAGCCCAAGGTTCAAGCCAAGGCAGAGGCCTCAGCTGCAGCTCAGGCTCCTAAAGGTGCCCAGGCCCCTGTGAAGGCCCCATAAAAAAGGTCGCAGGTTGCCAATGTGAAGACAGATGGACTTGTGTGAACACCTACACAGTATTTGCAGATGCTCAGGACCTTATGTTGTTTTTACAAATAAACTTGAGGCAAGTTCTGTTAAAAAAAAATAAAAAGGAGCAAGGTTGGGGGTGTCATTTGGAGGTAGAATGTTTGCCTGGCTTACTCGAGGTCTTGAGTTTGATCCCTGAGAGCCACAGTAAATAACATTAACAAGGAAGAACAGGACATTGTGCTTTTCATAGAATCAAGAAAAGGCTTTCGCCAGGGACTGTTGACACAGAGGAAGAGATCCGGCTGCCCTCAGGGCTGTCTGACATGCTACACAGACCCGACGGCGGGGAGGGAATGTCATGTGTGGGAGCACTTGCGTATCCACACCACCTTTGGGTACTCTTGAGTGAAGGTTGGACACAGACAGACAGTAGCGGGTGCATAGGTCCGTATATACCATTTAAACTGAAAGACAGGTGGTGGTGTTTGGTAGTCTAGAGTTCTACACTCACTGTGTCTGACATGAATGTCACAAAACTAAGTGTGAAGACAGTATGCTCACAGTCCCGCCATGTGAAGCTCCAGCCCACCTGCCTGGTTGACTCCCTGGAACTCAGGTCCACTTGCGAGAGTTGGGGATGACCCCTTTGGTACAAACCTTTGGGGAATCTGGTCAGTGTGAGGCAGAGGAATATTTTGAAGGAGAAACAGGTTTCAGGGGCCCCACTTGGATGATACTGTTAGATGTGTTGGCCCCTTAGAGACGTGGAGCCTGAGCCAAGAGCCCTGTGTGTTCTGGTCTAAGGGACATACAAAGTTCAGGATCACGCCTCACCACAACTTGTGTTAGTTTTCTCATCACTGTGACCAAATACCTGACAAGAAGCAAATTAAATAAGGAGGAATTTCCTTTGGCTCATGTTATAAGGGACAATCCACCAGGTAGGAGAGACATGGGGTCAGAGACAGCTCAAGGCCGTGGTGGCAGGAGTAGAAGGCTGCCTGTTTGTATCTCCACAGAAGAGGAGAGAGAGAGAGAGAGAGAGAGAGAGAGAGAGAGAGAGAGAGAGAACACAGGAAGCAGGCTAAGCTACACAGCTAGAGTCCCACCTCCCACTTCCTCTAGCTAAGCCCCACCTCTTAAAGGTTCCACAACTTCCCCAGACAGTGCCATCAGCTGGAGACCCACCATTCAAGCACAACAGCCAGCATCTTACACACAAGACACGACATTTCCCTATTATTTCAGAGTTGATTGGCTTCATTTGTTTTATCTGTGGTTTCCCTGGACTCTTTTGACACTTTTTTGGAGTCTGTATTATTTAAGCTATGTTCTTGATAATTCTAAGGCATCATATGAGCTGGGGGAGGTGGTATCAAGGTCATAGGAAACCCACACAGACAGCTTACCTGTGGGAGCTCACTGACTCTGGACCAACAGCTCGGGAGCCTGCATGGGACCGACCTAGGTCCTCTGCATGTGTGTGACAGTTGTGTAGCTTGGTCTGTTTGTGAGGCTCCTAGCATTAGGATCAGGATCTGTCCCTGGTGCTTGAGCTGCTTTTGGGAACCCAATACCCAAGCTGGGATGTCTTATTCAACCTTTATGTAGGGGGAGGAACACGGTCCTCACTCAACTTGATGCGCCATGCTTTGTTGACTCCCATGGAAGCCCTGCTCCTTTCTGAATGGAGATGGAGGAGGAGTAGGTGGGGGAGTAGAAGGAAGGTGGGGGGAGGGAACAGGAGGAGAGGAGGGAGGTATGTAAAATAATGAAAAAATTTAATTAAAAAAGATAAAAGTCATTTTATATTCCAAACAGTTCCTTTTTAAATATATCGTCTGTGTTTTACAAATATTCTTTTTCATTTACTGGCTTATCTTTTCCTTTTCAAAAGTATCTGAAAGAATAAAATTTCTCAATTTTGTTGAAGTACAATTTATTAATTGCCTCTTTTATATCATCAGATTTAATGCCTAATTTATGAAAGATGTAGTCTTACTAAAATTCATTATTTTTATCTTAAACTATATTTTGTGGTCTATTCCAAGTCAGCATTTTTCTATTATATATTGCTAGGATCAAGATTTATTATTATTTTGCTTTTAGATCGTGAAACCAGAAAAGGAACAATGAAAAAGGAAAAGGAACTCTTCCAAAAATGGACTCGTGGGAAGGAAAATTACACGCGGTGCTGATGCGGAGGGCAGAGAGTATTATTGTACAAATATATATGCCATATAAATGCCATGAGGAAAACTCTTACATTGTATATTAATTAAAAAACCAGACATTTAGAAGAATAAAAAAATTAAAGCAAAACAAACAAATGAACAAGCAAAACCCCATTTTGCTCCTTCCTCTTTCCCACCCCTCTGACACCTCTATGTTCATTCTAACGGCATTGGGAGCTGCCATCTGTCACAGTCTATCCCCTTGTCCACTCCACTCTACTTGCAAATGTTCCCTTCAGTGAGTTGTTGACTCAAGGCCTCTGGCTTCCAGTACACCATCAACACTGGACCCCTAATGAAACTCCTCCTGGATATCCCTGCTGCTGCCCTGCGTCATGGAGATCCAGCAGCCATGGTTCCATAAGACTAGTAATTTCATAAGCTCTGGTGGATCATGGATGGGGTAGATGTTGTGATGAGCCAACTCAAATCCCTGGATATAGGCCTGGGTGTCGGCTGATTTGGTCAGTCCAGGCCTCTGGGACTGCCCCCACCCCCAGGCGAGAGGCAAAGCCTGCTCTTCTGTGCCCATGCCATAGGGACTTCTGTTTCAGTGGCCAGCGAGGAGCAGGGCCAGTTCTCCTAGAGCCAGCATAGGGCGGTGCTGGCTTAGTACAGCCTTGGATTCCAACACTCTAGATTACTAGGATTCCTTGTGGTATCTTGGGTCACAGAGACTAGCCCAGAGTACAGCTGCAGCAGGACCACAAACCTAGATAGCAACTCGGGCCTGATTATCACCATGGCCCAGGTGACAGCAGAGACTACCCAGATCAACACTGCCCCAGCAGCAGCATGGCCCTAGGATACCAACAGGATGGTCTCTGATGGCTGACCAGATCCTGGCAGGTATCTGCACAGCCCTTGGTGGTAGCAGGAACCACAAACATCAAATCAGACCCTGGCTGCCATAGGGCCATTGACCCAGATGTGGCCCTTGGCAGCTGCTTGGTCCCAGATGTCACCATGGTACCAGGTGGCAGCACAGGCGGCTAAGACTGGCATAGCCCTGGTGGTGGCATGGCTCGAGGACACTGACATGGACTCAGGTGGTTGTCTACCCCAGGCATTTGCTTGGTTTTTTAGCAGTAACTGAAGCCATGGACATCAACATAGACCCTAGCTGCTGTAAGGCCATGGAGCTAGATACAGCCCTTGGTAGCAACTCAGGCTCAGATGTCATCTTGGCCCTGGGTGTCAGTTCAGGCCACTCAGCTCAGCATGGTTCCAGTGGCAGTAGCAAGGCCCTCAGCACCAACACGGCCCTAGGTGGTGGCCCAGACCCAGAACCTGGGCATCCATGTGGTTCCTGATGGGAACATGGGCCATGGGAATCAACACAGACCTTGGCTGGGGTAGGACCACAAACTCAGACGTGATCCTTGGTGGTAGCCCAGGCCTAGACACCACCATGACCCCAGGTGGCAAGTAGGCTACACACATCAGCCTGCTCACCACCATCTTTGGTTCCTCCGTTCAGCCTCTCTCCACAGTACATGGATCTCTCTCTCTCTCTCTCTCTCTCTCTCTCTCTCTCTCTCTCTCTCTCTCTCTCTCCCCTCCTTCCCATTTCTCCACTATATATTCATCATAATGGTGTCTACCCACCTGGTACACAAAGCACTGGGCAGGCCTGTGGTTGTATTCAGTCAGTATGGGACTGTAAAGACCCAGGCAAGGCATGTGCCTGTCTTTCACTCCCCTGGCCATAACGACCCAGGTGGGCCTGACTCAATTTCTTTGGTACTTCTGCACCTTTATTTGACATCCAGCAGGTTAGTTCTCACCCACATTGACTCTCTGTGGAGTTTCGAATGTGGTAACAGACAAGTATGTTACCAACGTGTAGAGCTTGTTGGGAGAGTCCTCATCCTCATTACGGTTTCTGAACAAACGTACTTGAATACTTGAATAGGTAACATGTGTAATTCCTCTGGTCGAGGCAACTTTATTGAGCTTGATATCAATATGCACATCTGGAGGCCCAATTTCCTTCATGGAATATTTCTGGATTTCTCTGAGTGCCTGAGAAGCATGCTTCTTGAAGCTCACTCCATGAATGTGCTTGTGAATGGTGATGGTGTGTTCTCGGGTCGCTACCTCATTGAGGGCAGAAGGGCCGCTCTCAACAACCCGCTTTGGGGGAGTCATTTTTGCCAGGCTCAATTTGGAAAGGTAACTGATTCAATTTTTTCCCCAAGACAGGGTTAACTGATTCAATTTTTAACAGCCTTTTTTTTTTTTAATAAAATGTTCAGTCAGACTATCACCTCAAGGAAAATAGTGTACAGTTGACTTTTGGCTTTTGGTAGTAGTGCTATTTGTTTGTTTGAGACAGGGTCTTGTGTACCTTAGTCTGTCTTTGACTAGATGTATAGCCAAGGATGATCTTGAACTTCCTGTTTCTAGTTCCCAAGTGCTGGGATTACAGATGTGTTCCACTATGTTCAACAGTAGAATGATGACACTTGGAGTGTCAACGGAACTTGAGAATCCACCATGAGCTTTCTAGCAGTAGTAGAAACTATCTGTGATAGTAATAATATGACCTTTGATAGTTTATGGTAAAATATGTCATATAATTCTGTAAAGCAATTTTTTCAAGTGACAGATGCTTGTTGATATATACTCACTCATGATCAAAGGTTCAATGAAAGTACTGGGCAGATCTGAGTTTGCTTGTTTTAAGGTTTAATTATTTTGTGTGTTTTGTTTGTATGTATGTCCTGTGCATTCTGAAACTGGAGTTATGGTTGATTGTGAACAGCCATGTGGGAATGGAACCCAGGTCTTCTTTACAGGAACAGTAATTTCTCTTAACTACTGAGCCATCTCTCCAGCTCTAGACTCATGATTTTAATGCAACAGTATGCACAGATAGCCAGTATGGTTACAGGTACCACATTAAAAGCAACTTTTAACTGGGCAGTGATAGTGCATGCCTTTAATCCCAGCACCCAGAGGCAAAGGCGGGAGGATCTCTGGGAGTTCAAGGCCAGCCTGGTCTATAAGAGTCAGTTCCAGGAAGGAACCAAAGCTATTATGCATTTATCCTTTTTTTATTCTTAATGCAGCAAAGATTATGCATATATATGTATGTATGCATATATATATATATATGGCTGTTAAAAGCTTCCTACCTTTCCATATTTGCATCTGTGAGGCTGAAATTTTTTAAAGCGTATGCTGCTTAAATCACAATGAACTGAGTGTAGAAGTTATAAAGGACTTGGGATGAGTGAGCACTGTAATTAGCAGGGAGAGATTAAAGGAAGTGATACTTGGGAGGAGACTCAGGAGGCAATTAGGAGCCAGATCATGAATGGTCTCATGGGCTGTGTGAAGGGGATGATGTTATCCTATATAGTTTTGTGTGACTCATTCTGGCCACACAGGGAGGAACAAGATACAAGGGGCAAGTGTGAGCACAGATAGGCAAGTTGGGATTCAGCTGAGGGATGATAGTAACCTGGCCAGGTGTGATGAACGGTCTTAACTGTCAACCTCATGAAATTTAGACTCATCTAGGATGAAAAACCTATGGGCATGTCTGTGAGGTGTTCCTAGAGAGGTGGGGAGACCTGTTCTAAATATGGGTGGTGCCAACTCATGGGCTGAGGGTTCAGACTGAGCAAAATGGAGAAACTGACCTGAGCCCCAGCATCCATCTCTCTCTGCTTCCTGACTGTGATGTAACGTGACCAGACACCCCACGCTTTTGCCCCCATGCTTCCTCTACCTTTTAACTGTGAACCAAAATGAACCCTGCTTTCCTTAAGTTGCTTTGGACAGGTATTTTTTTTTTATCATAACAGTGAGAAAAGCACCACAGCAGAGCTATGGAAGCTCAGGGTGGAAGTGGATGGGCTGAGGGATATTTTTGGATATAGGGTATATTCTAGGCTTGATTGAGGGGACTGAGTGCTCTGAAGATAAGGGAGAGGAAGCTGCCAGGCTCACGGCTAGCCTGAGCAACCACAGGACTGGAGCACTATTTCTAAGGTAGAAAGTCTTGGGGAAGAGTAGATCCAAGGATGAGATAAAGCATTCTTTCAACCTGGTAGATCGACGGAAGCCAGCCTTGCTGAAGAATTTCCAGATGCTAGATGCTGAAGAGATGAGGCCTAACTATGCCAGGGCACACACTCGTGGCCTCTGTCCTTTGTGGAACTGTCCATCTATTTCTTCTTGTGACTTGTGTTTTCTAGATATTTGCTTGTATTGTCTAACATGTTTGGACCAGGAAGGCTTGGGAGAAGCTGGTACTTGAGACTGGATTGAATATCTCCCCCAGGGCTGGTCACTCTCTTCTTGGAGTCTTTGCCTGTCTTGGAGACGATATCTGAGGCTAAGAAGGGGGAAGGGATACTGGCTGTGGTACCTAATCCCAATATAGCATGTTGAGATCATTTGATTATGTTGGGCTCAGCATTCTTGGCTACGGAGAAGCAATGCTGTCTGTCATTCAAAACTCCCTGTAACATACAAGACACCACTCTTTTCAGAAACCCCAGCTGAATCCTGGAAATGCTTCACAAACGTCCCAAACACAGATGTAAGGAAAGAGAAAGAAATCTGAAGCTAAGCCCAACAGAATGAGAACGTGAGAGAGCGAGATATCAAAGTCAAGAGGCCTCGGGCCAGTTCAGTAACCAAATATCTGGAGAAGAGGATTTGTCCTGGGCTGGGGCTCTAATGAAAGGTCACCTTCAAGAGGAAACGTATTGTTTGACCTTTTTCCATATCACGTCCACCAGGTGAGGCGGTATGAAGCTTCATGTGGTCACAACATTATATGCACATGAGTCTGAAAAAAAACTGGGATGAGGTAGTAGGGAGGTTGCAGTAAGGACCATGGATGTTGGTCCTGCGGCGTTTTGAATGCAAGACCTTTTCATGTGAGTGGATCTTATTTATGTCTTTAGACTCTGCTTAGAGTTGGCTGCTGTAGGCAGCTAGTGATCAGTAAATGTTTGTGGAGCTTTACTGCAAACTGACTCGTGGGGAAAATGTAGAGGAGATGAAACACCCTAGCAAGGGGAAAAACATACATAGGGAGCTAGCTCCTGTAGAGGTTTGGAAGTCTCCAGTAAGACTTTAGAGGAAAGAAAGGGGGAGAGAGGAGGGATCCTAAAGAGAAAGGGAGGACAGGGGATTGTTGTTTGAATTCTAATTGGTCTTAAAAATCTGTAGTCTGATATTGGGGTGAAAGCTGAAGGATAAGAAAAGCAGAGAAGTCATCCACTAGTTCTTGCCTAATGGAATCCTCAGAACAAAGGGCAATCCTGTCCCTACAAATCCTCAGACTGAATTCTGTCGCTACAAAATCTCAGACCAAATGCTCTGAGCTCCCATCTCCTCCTGCCTTGTATTTCTCTCTCTGCGCATCCATATTACTCTTGTCTCCAGAGGATGTCAAGGAACAGCACAGAGGTGGGTGGAAGGTCAGCTGGCTGTCCTGACAGGCGTTCTTTAGGCGGTAAAGAGAAATCATAAGGCAGTTCTGAAGGTCTAGACTCCTCTACCCGCCAAGCTCTTGCATGAACAATTGGTAATTACAGTAGAGATTGTGCCTTGAGCTGGCGATTTTGTCAGCATGATTACACAGCAAAGACACATTTTACTGAAGTCTGGTTCGTTGGCCAGTTAGACAGACATCATTTGGTGTCTGGTTATCTGTGTCTCTACTGAAAATCATCTCCAAATACTAGACTTGTTATTATCATTCAAGGTTTCGGCAGGTTCTGGCTTAGGTTCTGCCACGGAGTGACAGTGGCAGTATTGGCAAGGCCGTAGTCATCTGAATGGTTGGCCAGGCCTTTGACTCTGCTGCTGAGGTAGCTCCGTCTCCTGGCTGGCTAGTTGGTGCTAGTTGCTGGTAGGAGAATTCAGTTTCTTCCCACAAGGGCGTTTCAGTGCCCTCAATAACATGGCAGCTGTCTCCTCTCCTGCAAAAGGAATGATCGCAGAGAATGAACGTCAGTTTCTTTTAGAACTTAATCATAGACAGTCATCACTTCCACACAAAGCGTGGTCACACTCGTCAACGCTATTCAGTGAGAAGGAAGGGCTATGACTATCCGACAAGGCTACGAATCCCAGGAAGCAAGAAAAAGAATTACCCGACCCAACCCTAAGTCTGAAAACGTGTTTCATATGCAATTTCTCAGGCATAATCCAAGAGCTACAGAATCAGAAGAAACCCTGAGGGGGTACTTTACAATTGGAAGCAGCAGGAGCTCTGTGGGCCATTCTGATGGATGCCATGGTTTGAGAATCAATATAGTGATGCAAGAAACAGTCCCCACCTTCAGACGGCTTATGGCCTATTCTAAATGACCAAGCACCATGGAGCTGTACTGTAACTGCATGGGAAAGAAGGTAATAAAAATGTCCCTGGCTGACTGTTCTGGCTCCCTCTTTTAAATTCCTCTCTCACTCAGGGGCTCTGCTGTAACATGGTCTCTTTCTTGTTACCGTTAGCTCCCATTGTGCTTTCTTCTGCCACAGAGTGAGCTGTTAATGGACGTGACAATGTCTAATGTGGTCCCGACCACGGTGGTTGCTCAGACAGTAGTTCACTTCCCTTTGCCTTGCACTGTGTTTCAAACCTGGAAGACCTAGTTCCTTCACTTAAACAAATTAGAACATTTCTGCAAGGCCTGACCCAGGGCCCTGGTTTCTGAAGGCATCTCAGATCCTTCATCTGCCACGCCTCCCTTCTGTAATTCTCCGGACACTGATAGTCTGAGTAGAGTACTCCAAACTCCTGATTTTGCCTGTACATTTGCCTTCTGTTTTTCCTCCTGATTCTCCACTTAGGATGCTATCTGCAGCTTTCAACACAATGCGGAATTGTCTCGTTAATTAGGTTGATCTCTGATGATGTTTTCTGGTCTCTTCCCACTTGCTCGTCATATTGCAGTTCCGTCTCGACCTACGTATTTAAATCACCAGCCTGTCTCTGGGAGAAAACAACCTCTTGTGTCAAATCCCTTCCCATTGCTTTGTCTTAGCTTATGACAGTTGTATATGGCCCCAACATACACTCTGAACTAGTAGGACAGAGTTCTGGCCTACATTCTGATCTCTGCGAAACACAGCTGGAGGTCGGTACCCCATGGTCCAAAAGACAGTGAAATTCCAGGAAG